GGAACAACTTCTGGACTTTGCTTGAAAAAGAAATAACTTTGGAAGAAAATATAATAGAACCTCTGTCATTATTTTTATTAAATAAAATTAATCTTTTAAAAATAAAAATAAAAATGCCTTTATTTACTTTGTTTAAAGCGCTTTTATAAAAGGAACAAGTTAGTAGTACCTTGGTAAAAGGTAACAATTGGTAAGAAGCCACGTTTTATTTGTTTTAGTGAGCAAGAAAGGTGAGGATTAACGCTGGTTAACTAGTGAGTGTTAACAACGTAATTTGCTTTAATGAGCAAGCAAGATTAGGACTAACGTTAGCTAACTATTGAATGTTAATGAAGTATTGTCTAAAGGTTAATCGGAAATATTGGTGGCATTATTATTATTGTAATCGTAAACGTGAGGCTGTTGAACAAGTTATTTAAGTTGTTTTGTAAATAAACAAAGCGAGTTTGCAGTCAGCCGATAAATATGAACAACGAGTGAATAAAAGGAACTTTATAGCTTTGTAAAAGGGCCATATTTATTCAGATGCAAGAAAGAGGCGGGAACCAAAATTTTTCTTCTGCTCCAGTAAAAGAAACTACAAGTATAACTTCCAAATATTTTAGTAATAGCAGCAGTAGTATCACTGCTAAAACAAAAGTAACAGAAGAGGAGGAGGGTGAAGAGGAGGAAAAGAAGTTATCACCATCAAAAGTAATAAAAAGTCAACTAACCGAAAAAAGAACGCGTAAACATGTCACTATAGAAATTGATAATGTTGATGATCCTTCTGCGATAACATCATCACCCAAGAAAAAGAGAAATGTTGATGGCAATAAACTTTTTTCTATGGTCAATAATCCACCTTTGAATTGGGAGACTGTATATTCATCCATCAAAGAATATCGTAAAAACACCATAGCACCTGTTGATACAATGGGTTGTAATAAACTGGCAGATGGTCCAAATGAAAAAATCACACCTCAAGTATTTACTAAATTATCCTGTGATAATAGTAATCTATTATTTATCGATAATGGTTAATATGGATTATTTATTATTGTTTAGACTTCAAGATTTCAATCTTTAATAGCATTAATGCTCTCCTCACAAACAAAAGATTTAATCACCTCCTCAACAATGCAATATCTTAAAAAAAATCTTCCAGGCGGATTAA